AACAAAAATAACAACAACAATAACAACAACTACTACTACTACTACAATAATAAACAACAACAACAACAGCTACATGTTGTCAAGTCACTTTTGACTTATGGCAGCCCTTTCCAGGATTTTTTGATACAGAGTTGTATGTAGATGAGTTTAATAATAATAACAACAACAGTAATAACAATAACAACAACAACAATAATAACAACAAAAATAACAACAACAATAACAACAACTAATACTACTACTACAATAATAAACAACAACAACAACAGCTACATGTTGTCAAGTCACTTTTGACTTATGGCAGCCCTTTCCAGGGTTTTTTGATACAGAGTTGTATGAAATGGCTTACCATTCCATTCTTCTGGGGTGCTCTGGGACCACATAGCTTGCTCACAGCCACACAGGCTGGCTCTTTTCCTGGGAGACACGCTGGATAATCAAATTCCTCCTTGTATGCCATCTCTACAAGCTATCCAGCTTCTGGAGAACTTTCCTTGCTCAAAATGCATGGAGAATTAGTATTGTTGGGTGAATGATTAGACATTTGTCTCTTTCCCTTTATACTCCCTTTCAATCTGAGGGCCTATCTATAGTACAAAGTTGTGTCACTATTATATCAATTTGAGAGGTGTGTTTTCTACCAGAAGATCACGGGAAGTGTGGCTTGTTGATGGTGTAGACAATTCTGGATTTGAGATCCTGTATCTCTTTAGAGAACCATAGCTCCTAGGGTTCCTGGGTGGAGGAAAGAGTAGTTCTTAGACCAGTTGCATTTTCCATAATCTCATAGGAAGTAGTAGTTAAACAAATCTGGAGTACCAAGTAGTTAAACAAATCTGGAGTACCAAGTTGGGAACGCTTGCTGTAGTGTATGATTATGCCCCGACAAAGCTTGAACAAAATATTTTTGGGGACTATAATTTCCAGAATCACCCAGCCAGCATAGCTAGTGAACTGGGGAATTCAGCAAATTGTAAATCCATGCAGGCAGCTCTTCCAAGCTGTGTTGAAGGCTATAGCTTTGGTTATGTTAGCTTGCCTCAGCCATAGATACTATGTGTAGACCTTTCATTCTTATTTTATTCTTCCACATTGACCACAGATGAAATGTTTGCAGTATCAGTAGTTCAGAACAATCTCTCTCTCTCTTTCCTGTTTCCAGTATGATAATGTATACCATCACTTCCTTTAATGTCAAAATGGTTAGCAGGGAATGGCAGGTAGGATGAGCCTTACAATGTAAAAGCAGCAGGGAAGGGGGGATTCTAAACTTATTGTTGACTCTGATTGAAATGCAAGGCAGGGGGATTGGAAAGAAGGACTATTCACTCAGCCTCCTCCAGGCCTGGCTGCTCTAGGGCAAGCCCATCAAGTGAAAGAGGCCTTTGTGTTGAGCTTCCTTGGCCCTCTTGTATTGCATACCAGCAGGTAGCAATTGTTAAGATCCACTGAGCGGGGTCAGAGTGGAAGGAGGCAAAAATGGCTTCTGTTGTGCTGCAACTATGCCTTGCCTTGCCTTGCCAACTTCAAAAGGATGTTTTGCTCATTGTGTTAGCTTCTTCTGGGTGGGTAAGATTCTTGTGTCAGCAGCAGAGAAGCTTAGAGAAAATAAAATACAACTTAAAATAAGAAAAGAGAAGTAGGGCTTATCTGTTTCTGCCTCTTGTCCCCAAGCAAGAAATAAATGGTATAACTAAAAGCAAGTATTGGCAACTTGTTTCGGCTCAAATAATGCCCTTTTAAATGCAGCATGATGAGGGAGGTCACAGCTTTTGTCAATTACCAAGTGAAGCCAATTCTGTAAGTGGCCAATAACAGAAAGCAACTGTCTAAGAGCATCTGATCTGATGAAAATAACACTGAAAGACCAAAACAACTAAAAACAATTCAGTAAAAACAACATAAACAGGAAAATAATTGAGGAAATGCCTGTACAAACAAATTGGCCTTTAGTCCATGACTGAAACATACCAGTGGGGGTGAGGGTAAGACCATGGGTTAAGAACCATAAGAAAGTAGGCCCAGGTCAACAGCTATAGGAATCACTAGAATGGTAAGCGAAGCCACAGCCATCCAAGTCCAAAAACTAGATATTTGAAGGGCCTTCTTAGAAGATCCCCCCTTCCTAAATTTGCAGGCAATTTTCATACCTTTTTTCACACAAAAAAGGTGTTTTAAAATAACAGTGTGACAAGCAATGTGACAAGGTACTAAAATCTGTTGTAATGTTAATATGAATAAACGCCCCCAAAACTTGCATAATAAATTTCTTTAAAGAAGTAAATCTCCATATTCTGATGGTTTGCATCTTTCTTAAATTTATTTCCCTTTTCAGGTCTTTCTAAACACTATTTTCCTGTCTTTCTTTCTATATACACACTTACATAGACACAAACTTCAGTACAGTGGTGCCTCGCATAGCGAGGTTAATCCATTCCGGATTAACCTTCGCTATGCGAAAACATCGCTAAACGGGTATAAAAAAGCCATATCTTTCTAAACACTATTTTCCTGTCTTTCTATATACACACTTACGTAGACACAAACTTCAATATTTGTTGTTAGCTACATTTATATTAATTTTCCACTCATTAGCTCAAGTACATGGTTTCTCTCCTCCATACATTATCCTTACAATAATCCTATAAGGTAAATCAGGCTGAGAGAGAATGGTTGGGCCCAGTATCATACAGTGAGTTTCATGTCTCAGTAGGGGAACCAGTATCTCCAAAGTTCCTACGCCACATTGGTTCTCAGTGTGCCGTGCAGAATTCTGATTTCTGCTATCAAGAAAGCACTTCTGCTCTGAGGAAGCTGCATTCCCTCTGCAATTCAAAGTTTGTTGGGTTTGCCACTACAACACAAAGTACCTATGGACATTAGCATCATGCACCTTTGCCCTCCTGTGGACACCCATAGTATCTATAAACTTTTACAGATACTACGGGTGTCTTTTAGCTAATGTCCATGATATACAGTGGGGTTTTGACTTGAGAACTTAATCCGTATTGGAAGGCGGTTCTCAAGTCAAAAAGTTTGCAGGTCAAATCTGCATTTCCCATAGGAATGCATTGAAAACAATTTGATCCGTATCTGCTCTTTTCCGTCCATAGAAACTAATGGGAGGCTGCTATTCTGCCTTCGACCACTAGAGGGGGATATTTTGTTTCTTTTTTTCTTAGGTCAAGAAAGGTTCAGGGAAGGCAGGGAAAATATAGTCCAGGCAGTACAGTACCAGGCAGTCTGAAGACTGTCTCCCAAGCCACTCTCTAAACGCTGGGAGGAGTGAGGAAGCAGACAGGCACCCTTTTCACTGGCCAACAGTTAACTGAAAGTTCAAATTTTGCACTTTCCCTGCCTCCCACGTGGGTTTTTTCAGTTCGTAACTCAGATCTAAGGACGTAAGTCAAGTCAATATTTTCCTATGAGAGCGGTTCGTAAGTCAAAATGTTCGTAACTCGGGCCGTTCGTAAGTCAAGACCCCACTGTAAATTGATGAAGGGTGATATGATCCTTACAATAATCCTATAAGGTAAATCAGGCTGAGAGAGAATGGCTGGGCCCAGTGTCATCCAGTGAGTTTCATGTCTCAGTAGGGGAACCAGTATCTCCAAAGTTCCTACGCCACATTGGTTCTCAGTGTGCCGTGCAGAATTCTGATTTCTGCTATCAAGAAAGCACTTCTGCTCTGAGGAAGCTGCATTCCCTCTGCAATTCAAAGTTTGTTGGGTTTGCCACTACAACACAAAGTACCTATGGACATTAGCATCATGCACCTTTGCCCTCCTGTGGACACCCATAGTATCTATAAACTTTTACAGATACTAATGCCCATGATATAAACTGCCGAAGGGTGATATCAGTTTGTTCCTTTGTTTGCACCATCTTTGATTCCTCCTAGTAGTCTAGCCCATTACAAAATATATATTACCATATGGGAAAACTCCCTTCAGAGTATTGCATTGTTATTTTATTAAGTTTTATATAACATCCTGTTTACTCCTGTTAGACCTTAAGAGACAATAAGGGTGCTCTGACTTTTCTCTTTTTAAAAACAGAAAGTACAGAAAAGCTGTATTGCTACAGGCAAGGATATCCATGGTGAAGTGATTAAACTGCAGGATGTGGTGAACTTTGATCAGGGCTTGAACTCAATCCTGGGCTCAAGTAGCTGACTCAAGGCTGACTCAGCCTTCCATCCTTCAGAGGTCTGTAAATTGAGTCTTCAGCACTGCTCAGAGAGTGCTTTAAGCACTATGGGACAGTATATTAGCGGCACACTTTGCTTTTGCCTTACTTCTCTTGCAGCAGCAAAGGCACCTGTGGGATGTGGAAGTGGGCGGGATAGATCAAATCTATATATTTTAAAACCTGGAAATATGTCTCACTGATTGGTAGTGACACCAAAGTTAGTGTATATGGAAGCTGTAGTTCAGAGCTTAGAAAAGTTAGATTTTGGCCTATAACTCTCAAAATCCTCCAGTCAGCATTAGACTTTGCTGGCTGGATTATTCTTGGGGTGTCATCCAAAACAGTCATTTTTAAAAAAATTCTGCTTCAGTTCAAGAATAATTTGCAAGGCCTAGTTTAATCTACATGAAACCCTCTGCCTGACCTCATGTGTCTTTTACTCCAAAACCTGTTTATAAGCAATCAGTTCAGGTCTCTGTAAGAACGTACAGTACTGATATGCTGGGGGAAGGAAGAGAAAGAGAATAAGGAGGGACAGGAAACATGGATGGTGGGAGAAGAAAAGTGATGGCCTTCTCTAATGTTGTCTCTAGTCTCATCCATTACAAACTTTAGTCCTGCTGGTTTGCAAAGAGGCAACACAAAGGTTTAAAAAAGATTGCTGTAGTTCCTTTCACCTCCTTTGCTTGATCAGTAAAGCATGTAGTGCTTCAGTACAGGACAATCAGCTGTTTATAGTGAAATTCTTAATACAGCAGGTAGAACTGGTTGCGTTCAGTCTTTCCTTAGTAGCGCCATCCAACCTTGTCCATGTGTTTCTTAACTGGGCTTTGACTTGTTGCTTGTGAAAGAGTTTTTGCCAGTTTTTTGAGGAAGGATGCAAGCAAGACAAAGTCAACGGTAAGTAAAACAAAATCCAGAGTTGGGACTACCTTTATTGGGATCAATTGTAAATGCACAAAAATGCAAGGTTTCAGATTCATCAGGATAGGAAAAAAAATGGGAGGCATGAAAGTTAGAAAAAAAAATCTGGTAGCTGTTTCAAGCTATGGGGCTTTACAGTAAACTTCAGTCCCAGCGTTGTAAAGGCAAGTCTGGTGTCTCAGCCATGAATTTTTTTCAACAGTTAAGAAAATCATTGGGCTATCTCTCTGTTACGTTGCTTCATAATGTTAACTGCAACCAGGACGAATTCTCTGTCAATGCATCATGTTCCTGACTCAGTTTTCCTAAGACACTTGCCATTAAATCAAGTTGCTATAAGTTAGAATATACAATAAGGTGGAAGAGAGTAAAGGCAGGCTGTACTGAAATCACCATCATCATAATCTTAGAACTGCAGCGCTGGAAGGGGCTCTGTGGGTCATCAAGTCCAGCCCCTCAGGGAGGCATAGAGGGGAAGATCTTAGAACTGCAGAGCTGGAAGGGGGTCTGTGGGTCATCAAGTCCAGTCCCTCAGGGAGGCATAGAGGGGAACTGAACTTCCAGTCTCTGTAGCAAATATCTACACCAATTAACTACTCAGTAATATAGGGAGATACAGTCCTTTAGATACCCTGGAACCAAGCTGTGTAAGGCTTTATAGGTAATAACTAGAACTTTGAATTATGCTTGGAAATGGATTGGCAGTCAGTGAAGCTGTTCTGCCAGGGAGTTATATGGTCCTTGTAAGTGTTGCCAATCAATGGTTGGGCTATAATATTTTAAATCAGCCAAAGTTCCTGAAGGATCTTCAAAGGCAGCCGCACACAGAGCACATGATAGTAATCCAAGAGGGATGTAATAAAACCACATATCACTGTAGCCAAATCAGGCATCATCTTGTCAGCTCATATTTTGTAATAAAGGTTTACCGTCATGTAGTGCCATTGGTTACTCTGAAGGAAGTCCCACGGAGTTAAATTAGACTTTGTCTCTAAAAATATATACTAGAGGGCAGTCTAAAAGGCAAAATAAAGAAGTAGAAGAAGAAGGGGAAGGGAACAATGAAAATAAGAATATTCACTTATCAATTTATTTATGCTAATCCTTACTGATAGCCCTGTGTCTGTAGGAGACATTGTAACAGGCTGTTTTACAGGATTCTAGATACAGTGGTGCCTCGCTTTACGATTGCCCCGCATTATGATGAATCCGCTTAACGACAATCTTTTTGCGATCGCAATTTCGATTGCAAAACGATGGTCTAAATGGGGGAATTTTGCTTTGCGATGAACTGTTCCCTGCTTTGGGAACCGATTCTTTGCAAAATGATGTTTTTTGAGCAGCTGATCGGAGGTTTTAAATGGCCACTGGGTGATTAAAATGGCTCCCCACTGTGTTTAGGGATGGATTCCTCGCTATACAGGCAGCGAAAATGGCCGCCGTATGGAGGATCTTCGCTGGATGATGAGTTTTTACCCCATTGGAATGCATTGAATGGGTTTCAGTGCATTTCAATTGGGTTTTTATTTTCGCTTTACAATGTTTTCACTTAACAGCAATTTTCCTGGAACGGATTATCGTTGTTAAGCGAGGCACCACTGTACTGTTTTCTGACTTGGGAAAAAAAAGTAACTTCTAGTCCAATACAGGATTTCAAATAAGCTTTTATCATGAAAAAAGCTGGCTGGATAGCCCAGTGTTTTAAGTATCAGGGAATTCGATGCCCCACTATGCTGCCTGTGAGTAGAGCCAGCCTATGTGGCCTTGGGCTGACTGCACAGTCCCAGGATGCCCCCAGAAGAAGGGAATGGCATACAATTTCAGGGAATTCGATGCCCCACTATGCCGCCTGTGAGTAGAGCCAGCCTATGTGGCCTTGGGCCGACTGCACAGTCCGAGGATGCTCCCAGAAGAAGGGAATGGCATACAATTTGTGAGTATTCTCTACTTGAAAAAGGTTACCATATGTCAGAATTGACTTGACAACTCATGATTATTAATATTATTATTTGTCTCAGAATAATGAGCAGATTATTTTTTGGACTGGCTGATCTTTTGGTGAGGTTCATTAAGAAAGAAATGTTCCCTGTTCTTTCCTGATATCTCTTGGACCCTATCAATCAGTGCTTGTACTGAAGAGAATTAAGATTTAATATGTTTTTTTTAAAAATCATGTCAATTTGTTTTCTCCTTCCTAGGTGTGTCCCTCTTGTTATGATTCAGGTTGCTCAAAGATGGCAGCTGATCCTTATTTTCAATTGGATCTCTCTTTGTGTACCCATGCCATTAGTGAATGACTGTCGGGACTCACTAATTGAAGAGGAGAATGCTTCTCGTACAGGTGGCAATCTTGTGCTTGGAAAATGGGAAGAGCATGCCAACGAGAAGCTCATGCAGCTCAAAGAGATGGAAGTGGCTAAATCAGTAGAGACACACGTCTTTCCGCCCAGCATGCATTTCTTCAAGGCCAAAGGCCTTATCGAACAAAGTGCTATATTCAGCATCTTAAAAAAGATGCCAAAAGGTAGTAAAGATGCCATCTTGACCTCTTGCAATATGTCTGTGGGGGAAAAAGAGAGAGAATGAGTTGGCATGTTTTCATGTACCTTATGTAGTTATTGTAGATAAATGCTTCTTTTCAGCTCCTGCTCTCACACCAGGACAGTTGGATATAGTCACACAATATTCATCACTCTGCACTTCACTATGTTGAACAATAAGATCTTATGAACTGGCTGTCAGGTGAATTCACCAATGATCCACAGAGGATTCTAAGAAGCATCAGGCAAAAAATCCAAAAGAAAAGAAACTATGTGTATTATTCTGTATATTTAAAACAATCTAAAAGATAGTCCAGTCCTCTCTGGACTCATCCAACCCATAGAGCTAGCATTTGTCTGAAGACAATCTTCCGTGGTCACGTGGCCAGCACGACTAGACAGGAATGCTGTTACCTTCCCACCGAGGTGGTACCTATTTATCTACTCACGTTTACATGCTTTCGAACTGCTAGGTTGGCGGGAGCTGGGACAAGCGATGGGAGCTCACTCAGTCGCAAAGATTTGATCTCAAAGGTTAAGAACCACTGATCTAAAATATAGTCCAGTCCTCTCTGACTCCAGGGGGTGGTGCTCATCCCCGTCTCCAACCCATAGAGCTAGCATTTGTCTGAAGACAATCTTCCGTGGTCACGTGGCCAGCACGACTAGACAGGAATGCTGTTACCTTCCCACCGAGGTGGTACCTATTTATCTACTCACGTTTACATGCTTTCGAACTGCTAGGTTGGCAGGAGCTGGGACAAGCGATGGGAGCTCACTCTGTCACGAGGATTTGATCTTACGACTGCTGGTCTTCCGACGCTACCACGCCATAGGAAACTTCGCTGAACGGTGAGTAAAGGAGCCTTTTGGAACGCATTAAACGATGTTTAATGCGTTCCAATGGCTTTCCCTGTCCCGTTCAGCGATGTTTCGCTATAGCGAAGGTTAATCCGGAACAGATTAACCTCGCTATGCGAGGCACCACTGTATGTGTATTATTCTGTGTATTTAAAACTATCTAAAACACTGGTTCTTAACCTTGGGTTACTCAGGAGTTTTGGACTGCAACTCCCAGAAGCCTTCACCACCAGCTGTCCTGACTGGGGTTTCTGGGAGTTGCAGTTCAAAAGCATCCGAGTAACAAAGGTTAAGAACCACTGATCTACAATATAGTACCGTCCTCTCTGACTCCAGGGGGTGGTGCTCATCCCCGTCTCCAACCCATAGAGCTAGCATTTGTCTGAAGACAATCTTCCGTGGTCACGTGGCCAGCACGACTAGACAGGAATGCTGTTACCTTCCCACCGAGGTGGTACCTATTTATCTACTCACGTTTACATGCTTTCGAACTGCTAGGTTGGCAGGAGCTGGGACAAGCGATGGGAGCTCACTCGGTCGCAAAGATTTGATCTTACGACTGCTGGTCTTCTGACCCTGCAGCACAGAGGCTTCTGCGGTTTAACCTGCAGCACTACCATGTCCCTTTCAGTCTAAAAGATAACATATGTTAAATCAGATAACACTGATTGCTATCGACCTATTTCTTTATTTAATATTTGTTTATTTGCTGGAATTTAACCAACCAGGTTAGGCCACCTAAGAACATATTACAGAAAATGATGCCAAATCTCAGCTTTGAATGGAGTGATGGGACTTGCAGTCAAACACATTTGGAAGGCACCATGTTGAGGGACAGTGCCATAGCTTGCCAATGGCAAGACCATTGAGAGCATGATGCCTTTGTGAGGTAGAAAAATATTTGCAAGTCTTATTAGACAATATCCATTTTGTTGTCGGTCTGGGCTTAACTTTTCCCTGAGATGTCAGCTTTGTTTGCTCTGGTTAACCAGGTTGATTGGAGTCACCTATTTGTTTGCTATTTTCAGCTGCTTGAAAGATATTCAGAGCACTTTGCAAAATTTTTAATTTGGAAGAAACTGAAAGATGTATAAATCTTAGCAGTAACATTATAATTGTGATACTTAGCAGTAATGTTATAATTGTGATACTTAGCAGTAACGTTACAATTGTTATACAAAATTATATTTCTTGTGTCAAGTTGTTAAATGGATCTTCCAGTAGTTTCTCATCCAAGGAACACACCAGATCTATTACCTGCATAGGTTCAAAATTGCCAAATGCCCGATGCTTCCAAATCAGTTTTTGGAATAAATTATAAACTTATTTATTTATTTAATTTATTAATTTGATGACTTTCTATCCATATGGTATTCAAAGTAACTCAAAATAAATTAAAATAACATAATAAACACAATTAAAAACACAGATATATATTAAACAACAATTACACAAATAAGAATATTAAAAACCACAATTTAAAAGCATTTAAAAACATATCTAGTTTAATTAAGTATATAAAATATCTCATAAGGACCCTGCTTGTCCAAATTTGCCAGAGAAAGAAAGTCTTTACCTGCTGATGGAAGGATAAGGGAGGGGCCAGTTGGCTTCCCAGGGGAGTGCATTTTGACTAGCGATTATTTTGTTATGGCCTGGAACTTGTACACCAAGTTCCACTGCAGCAGGCTTTGAAATGTTTTGCATTTGTACTAAGAAACAGCATGTTCCCTCATTCTTTTGTAAGTTCAATCACCTGCAACCATGTTCTGTGTGAGGTTGGAAGCCTAAGAGGGTTAGATGGAAATGCACATCTTCATTGCCACATGAATGCAATCATTTCCAATGTCTTGCATTGACTCTCCAATTTCTCTTTTGTCTCAAAGTTTTTGTCTGCTGTCTTCTTTCAGTCTTATGCTGCTCAGTCAATCACAGCCATAGGCTTCACCACCAATAGAGCTGTGTTGCATTAATATATAGGACAGTGGTTCCCAACCTTGAGTCCCCATATGTTCTTGGACTACAACTCCAAGAAATCCTGGTCAGCACAGCTAGTGGTGAAGGTGTCTGGGAGTTTTAGTCTAAGAACATCTGGAGACCCAAGGTTGGGAACCTCTGATACAGAAGATTTCTGTTTTTCAAAGTATTGAAGCCCCCTTTGTTATTTTATTTTTACTGTCTTTTCCTCCTCCATCTCTATAGGTGCTGCATTACACCTCCATGACTATGCGATCCTGAGTGTTGATTGGCTAGTGTACAATGCCAGCTACCTGCCTAACTGTTACATCTCTTTCTGCCATTCCTGGACTGTCCAGTTCAAGTTCTCCAGCCCTCTTCCTCCCAAGGACGTGCCTCCGGGTTGCTCTGACTGGACGTTGCTGCAGTCCTACCGCAAGAATCTGAACAATGTGACCCAATTTGATAACAGGTGAGTGGAAGCTGGTCAGTCAGATTAGTTACATGTGAATTGCATAGCTACGCTGTTGCTTCCTTGAGAACCTCAGCTGGAAGATGCTTTTAAAGATGGAATATGTGCAGTACAGCTTTATTCCTCTGCCATGGTCACTTACTGTAATCTAGAATTCATCACAAGTTCTCAGTATGGAAAACCATTATATGGAATCTGTCATAATAACGGTATTTAGCACGGTAATAATTACAATATGTACCAACTTAACATCAGTTTTAAAATATGATTACCCTGTCTATAGATTCCTAGGTACAGTGGTGCCTCGCAAAGCGATCACTCCGTATAGCGACAAAATCGTACAATATGTACCAACTTAACATCAGTTTTGAAATATGATTACCCTGTCCATAGATTCCTAGATACAGTGGTGCCTCGCATAGCGATCACTCCGTATAGCGACAAAATCGCTTAGCGACACTGTTTTTGCGATCGCAAAAGTGATCGCTTTGCGATGGTCCCTATGGGGAAATTTCGCTTTGCGATGATCGCAGGGGAGCAATCATTGTGAAGCCCCCATTTTCGGCCAGCTGATCAGCGGTTTCAAAATGGCCACCAGGTAAACAAAATGGCTGACTGCTGTTTTCAGACACAGATTCCTCGCTTTAGTGGCACCAAAAATGGCGGCCCTATGGAGGATCTTCGCTTAAAGATGAGTTTTAAGCCCATAATCATTAAGCCCATTAATCATGTTTTAAGCGAAAAAATCACTAATGAGTTTTAAGCCCATAGGAATGTATTAATTGCATTTTAAGTGAAAAAATCGCTGCTAAGCGATAACATCGCTAAGCAAAAATAAAGCTTAGCAATGTTATCGCTTAGCAGCCATTTTTTTCTGCACGAATTAACTACGCTAAGTGAGTCACCACTGGACAGTATATTGTACTTGGAACTGCTTATGAGGCTGGATCTATTTGTGTAGGGTAGTGTGGTGGTTCTATCCCATTTACAGGTGAATTCATTTTCACAAGAATCCCATGAGGGCCAAAGAGCCAGTATAATGTATTAGCAGGACTCGCTCTAATGTTAGGGGAAATGAGGAAGTTATGAATCCCATGAGGGCCAAAGAGCCAGTATACAGTAATGTATTAGCAGGACTGGCTCTAATGTTAGGGGAAATGACGAAGTTACCTCAGGCAGCAGAAGCTGGGAAGTGGATAGCTGGAAGGAATTTCAAGGCGTGGAAGGACTGAGCAATATCTACCATGTATCCCATGTGCCTTGTTTCCTCTAAGCAAGGCGGCAGCCCTTAGGCACAGTGAAAGTTATTTGCTCCCAACCAGTTTCCATTGAAAAGCAGCTGCCAATTTGGGGCCTTGACAGAGGCGAGCACTGTATTCAGAATTAGATTCATTCACATGGCACCATGGTTATAAATGTAAACCCTCTTAGCTGGAAGTAGGTTCCACTGAAAACTAAGAGCATTGCATTCAGCTATTAGGACTGAATCATAAAAGTTTATCTGAGTTGTTTTATATGTGTGTGAATGCTGTTAATATAAAACAAAAAGGAAAACACAGCTATCTTTAAAGCAAATATACAGCTTGCATTTTACCTTAGGGTTACAGGAAGTGAAGGTTGAGGCGGGAAAATGGTGCCCTCCTCTGGAATCTGAAACCCATAACAAGTGGTTTCAGTTGGGTCATGGTTAAGCTGTTGGTGCCCAGTTAATTCAACAAATCTCCACATATATTCCTTTTGTCTTCTATTAAGTCTAAGGCAGTGCCTCTTCTGATTTGCCATGTTGGAGGAGAACAGGATTAGATTTTGCAAGAGTTTTAGTGTGCATGCACTGCAGGCACTAGGAAGGTTTTAAAAAGAGCATGGGGAGGAGGAGTTGCATTGTGGACTCTGCCACCCCCAGAACTCTCTTCTGGGGGATTGCAGAAGAGGATTCTGGAAGTTGTAGTCCACCAAGCAACCTTTCCAAGCTCTGACAAAAATGAGTAGTTAGAATACATATCAGTGCTAACGCTGTGGCCCTTGTGTACACTTAGCAGAAAATAAATTCTGTTGAGGACTGTCAACAGAACAGACTCTTGAGTAAATAAGTATAGGATCAAGCTGCCCAAGCCTTATGTAAAAACACATTGTTCCAAAGTTTCTCTTCCCTCCTCCTGCTACTTTTCACAGAATCTTCTGAATTCCTCCTGCTGAGCTGGAAGAGATCCTATCATGTTGAATTCCCATTCTTTGGCAGGCTCTTGTAGTTCAGATAAGTTTGCAAACCATGCCTCTGGCACTTCATTCATTCCTGGTTTCTAGGGTGACACTTGCTGTGTAAGCAGTTCTTCTCCAAATAGGCCTGAAATGCCAGTTACTGCCACACAGAAACTAGTCAAAAATGCTGCTCTGTGTGTCCTTCTCTAGCTATGGTTCATTTCCTTCCCATTATGTGGCATTGTTGACAGAGTAGTTTCTTGCATTGCCTGATCTTTTGTCTGGTAATGTAAGGAAAGACCCCCATTGTCATGCACAAGAGGGCAAAGTTAAGGTTGCTGTGGAAACCTTAACTCCCAATTCCTTGACTGGTGGGCACTGTAAAAAACTTCACCCTTGATGACATAGGGCTACAGGATTCTTAGTTTCATTCCTAAATCCTCCAGTCTATTCCCATTTTATTGAATAAAAGTAATAAACAACCAAACCGAGTGAAAAATAACTGCAGTCCAAGGTATAGTCAGGGGCTCTTTAGGTAGGATAACAGCAGCTGGCATATTTAATGTGTGGCAAACAGACTCCATTTTGTAATCTCCCATTCCATCTGTTGACCAGACTCAACACTAGTTCGTTTTATGAGAATTGGCAAAGCTATCTCCAGCAAGCTGTAGGTGCACAATTTTTCTGATGAACAATAAAGATTTTTTTAGATAAAGATAATAAATATGAATTAAACCTAGATCTCACATGCATAATGCTGTATACTTTTAATTGCTTAGGCTGTGATTAGGTAAGGAACAAAACCTATCATAGCTGCTTGTTGGAAGTGGTCACTGTTGTCATGGCAAAGGAATGGAGTGTAGGACAGGAGCAAAGAACTTGTTTGTTATTAAAGGTCCTGATGGAGACACAGCATGAACCAAAGTCTCACAGACATAATTTGCATATTTTGTTATATGCAATGAACGTATTTGCATATTGTTCACATGGGTATATGATATGTGCCAAGTCACAGTTGACGGGCGTCTTGTTCTTACACTAATGCAGGGTGATTTCAGAATTATTAACCACAAACGAGAATAAACTATAGCAGCTGCCAAGCAATCAAAATAACATGAAATGAATCTAGACATTATTAAGCTTTTAAAAACGGTTTTGAGCATTTAAACTCAGGCAGCATTTAAACTCATTTCTATATGAATTAACAAGAACTAGCAGGAAAATTAGAATTACATGTGTTTGTATAACAAAATGACATGGTGCTGTTCTTTAAAAAAAGTTGGGAGAGCCAACTTTTCTGCAGATGACCTGTGAGCTGTTCAGTTTTAAGTACAGTTCTCCAAACTAACTCACACATTCAGAATTCTTTCATTCTAACTATATGTCCTTTGTTCAAGGCTGTGGTTGGTGGGTGCCAAAGTTTGATTCAAAAAGTAAAATAGATCCCACAGTCTTGGAATGTTCTGGTCCTATGGTATACAGTGTATACTTGGTACCAGTCTTGTTTATGAAGTTCTTTAAAGATAGCATCCAGGATAAAGCTCTTCTCCATCATATTTCCCTGCCTCCTGAAAAGGAGGGAGCAACCCCTTATGAGGAACCAGATGCAAATAAAGCTCCCTGCCTTGTGAAGGAGAATTAAGCTGGTAGAAAAGAAGCAGCAAACTGGATTAGGTGTGTGGGACATGATACAGACCGCATAATGCTCTGTCCGATGCATTCTGCAAGGAGAAGAGGAGAATATTATGCAGTGCTTGGTTTAGGTTTCCAGCCAAACGCAGATTCCCTGCTGGTCATTACGCACCAGCAGGAGTCTAAGTATGCTGACTGCTATCACAAGGTCGTAAGCAAATTTCTTTCTGGTTGAATGATTCTTCTGGTGTTCTTTTCCAAATGATTTATGGGGACTGAGTTGTCTTATATAGTGTTCCTGTACATGGGTGAAAACACAGATTGCTTCTGTTCAGTATTCCAACCACTCTTGCCATCTTTCAGGATATTCTGTTTCCTTAGGTTCTTTCCCTTTGGCATTTCAGTTTATCAGGATCATATCATAATCCACTCCCCACTCCCCCCATTTCTCAGTGGTCCTTTTATGGCTACACAGCCATCATAAACCAACATCTGAGTTCACTATTAAAATACATGATATATCTAGTGCCGGTACTGTACTTGGCAAGTTTAATCACATTCTCTTTCCTCTCCCAAGTTTTCCTCTAGAATCTAGACCACAATAGGACATGTAAAATTATTCATATGCAGGGGGGTTTAGTTTAATTTTGTCCCCCATGTAGGATTAAGCAGGACAAATCTACAAAGAACAGAAATGGTTGCTTTGCTGCATCTTTTAGGTAGGCTATAAAAGTAAAGGTAAATGTGTCCCTTGACAATTAAGTCCAGTTGTGTCCGACTCTCATTGCTTGTTCCCGAAGAGCTGGTGTTTGTCCATAGACACTTTCCATGGCCACGTGGCCAGCATGATTAGACACAGAACACTGTTGCCATCCCAGTGAGGTGGTACCTATTCATTCTACAGTAGCTGCAGTTTGCCTGCTTTTGAATTGCTAGATTGGCAGGAGCTGAGACCAGCAATGGGATCTCACCCTGTCATACTGATTCAAACTGCCGACCTTTCAGTGGACAGCCCAGTGGCTCAGCAGTTTATTTTCCTAACCTAGGCTATAGGCTAGGAAAATAATGGAACATTAGATTCCTCCAGGAGGCTAAATGGATCTCTTAAATTCTGAATTCAGAGACTGGCAAAAATGAGTGCTCTTAGAAACATTTACTCTATTCCTGTTTGGGACGTGCCTTCAAACGTTCTTGTAAGCTTTACACTTCTCTTTACCTTTCATTTCAGTGAAGAGTTGGGACAGAGTTTCTGCATTCCCTTTCTCTGTTAACTGTTACAGGTACATTGCTCTTCCTCTGTGGCCAGGCTGTCATTGTCCATGAAAAGGGAAACCAAATTGTCCAGCAGAGATAAGTACAACCATGTCTATAATTCAAATGGATCCTCAGGACCATTATACACTTCTGTTTCTGCGAACAAACACTTTAGGCTAAAATCCCATGTAATGGAATAAGTCCCATGCAATGAACACCAAGACTTCTATTTCAAGAAATACTGTATTTTCAATAATATGCATAGAATTGCACTGCTGGATAAAATTTCAAGCACACTTGCTAAGGAGCAATCTAACTGGATTCAATAATACTGTACTGTATTTATTACTGAATAAATATTAGAGGGCTAAGTACTTGTTGCAGAAATATGTTTGGTCTTGAGGTTATAGTCACTTTTGCGTAGTTTTCTGTAGATTCAAGTCACAAAAGCCAAAGTCTACCAGGACTATTAAACTGCAACTGTCTGTTTCCCGTCCCCAGTTTGCTGAAGAACCTGACGCTAGTAGTGGAAGCTCCAGAACTGACTTATCCTTCTCAGGCTTTCATTTGGAGAAGATTCGAAAGTATCTTCACTGCTGCTTCTGGTCTTATCAGCTATGCACCTGTGTTCAAGGCCTATTTCTATCAAGGGCTGTTGGAATTTTATGAAGATAATGTACAATATGTTGAGATAAGGGCACTTTTGCCACCGGTAATGCTTTTTCCTCTGTGTTCCTATTCTAAATAATTGTTCTTGGAGCTTCACGTTCCATCAGGGATTGGGAGAAACTATTTTGTGAAAGCCAGGCTTTTGAAGGAGTAGTGGTGGAAATGCACTGTTTAAAAATATTCTTATCAAATAGGTAAATTTAATTATTTATTTAAAATATTTTTACCCCGCCTTTCTCCTTAAAAGGACTCAAGGCTGCTTACAACAATTAAAAGACAATATTTAAAAGCTAAAATCAATAAGTATAAAATATTAAAAAGGAATTAAACAAATATATTATAAGCAGCCAATAAAAATCAATACCAAAAATATATTTAAAACCAATAGAGCACAACAATAATAAAAAAAAACTTCTCAGGCCACCAGTCACTAAAGAAAAGCCTGCCTGAAGAGAAAGATCTTTTCCTGCTTGCGGGAGGACAGTAAAGATGGGGTCAGCATAGATTCCTGTGAGAGGGAGTTCCAAAGTCTGGGAGCAGCAACAGAGAAGGGCCTCTCCTGTATCCCCACCAAGCATGCCTGTGAAGGTGGTGGAACCTAGAGACAGGCCTCCCCTGACTATCTTAATTCCAGGATTCCTCCTGGTGTCCCGCCTTCCACTCCCCATAGGATGGAACTTTCCCTCCAAACCCATGACAGACAGGTAACCAGCACTTTGGCAGCCCTTGGAGCTACTGCAACAGGGGAGGTCCAGAGTCTGTTTTCCACAGACTAGTAGCTATGGCACTAACTTCTTTTAAACTCTATTTGGATGTTGTTTTAATAGCTCTTAAACAAATGAAAAGTTGGTTGCCCTTATGTCAAAACTGGCTTAGTATTTTTTCAAAACATTTTGAGTCCTGGCCAGAAGCATTGAGGGTCAATTTTGAGAAGGAGGATGATAGATCAATGCCCCATTTCTATATTCATTTGTGTAAACCAGTCTCTCACATTGAAATCTATCCACACATCCCTTTTGCCACAGCGATGCCAACAGGACGAAAGGTTAAACCCTACAAATGATAAGAAAAACTACTATCATAACTTACTGATAATAACATAGTGTGGATTCTGAGAGCATATCCTCTGGGAATTTGATCATATTCCTAGATATCTGATTAGAAATAGTCATGGACCATCATCTGGACATTGATTAGAGCACATGAAATCCACTAATTACATATTTTGTATAGCCTGTGAGCCCTTGAGTGCTCCTCCATTTCTTTCCACCATCTGGCTGATCTGCGATCACCTTGATGAACAGCCACCGAGAAACATCAAGATCACAAGGTGATCTCCCCTGATCATGATCGATGGAAATAGATATGCTTTAATCTTGCTCTGGTAAGCAATTCTGATCAGAATCAGAGGGGGTGGTGAGGAAGGTGCTATGTTAGTACCTATGCATGTGTGCCATAATGAAATGAGTGTCTTCACATTTACCTGACCTCACCTGCCATTATTTCTCTGAGCACAAACCTCACTCACTCATTTAGGATCTCTGAACCTAAAAGAAGAGGAAACAGAATTCTTTTTCGAGTCTAAAGTAGTAGAATGAGCAGTCCTGGCTTAGAGGATACTCATCCATTTCAAACTGTCATCACTTTCCAAAGTATTATACTTCTAGAGCTTGGCATAAAAAAACTGGTCAACTGGTTTTACATTCAGAACTGTTGGCAAACTTGGCTTTTCTATCTACCCACACATAGTCACAAAGCATCAGCTGCTTGTGGAGCATGCTAATGTGCATATTTACTTTGATGTGAGTCCTGCTGAGTTTTGCTAGGACTGATACTGTTTACATTACTTATTTGTTCAAACTATCGATAGGTCACTTTTCCAGCTTTTGAAGTTGCTTACAAAGTTTAAAAATAATAATGTGAAATGATATAATAAGGACAGACAGAAAACCACAAAAATAAAAAACAGTTTGCACAATGCTAAACCAGCGACATGATAACCAATTTTAACCTTGCATATATTTCCTCATATTCTTCTTATGCGTGATGTGGTGGAGGTAGCAATGGTAGCCTCCAAACTGTTCTTCTGTCATCTACTCTCTAATTTAGGTGAAGGAGCAGTGCCATCCTCAGTGCTGACATAAAATGCAGCTGTCAATCTAAGCTTCTATATGTAGATTCAGAGCAAGGGTACCATATTAATCATCATATGAGACAGTATGATGTCTTGGGCTGACTTTTTTTTTAATTAGGGGTATCCATGGGACTTACAAACATTCCTTGTGGATTGTATTTCTTATCTTTTTCTATTTTATGATGGACTTCCCTTTCTCTTGGCTTTACTTTTGTGGCTGCTGCTTCCCTCTACAGGTATATGAATTGGATGGAACCGTCCATGATAAGGCGTGGTCTCTAAGAGCATATCATGATGTGGCTAGGCAGTTTATGGAGAACCACTCAGATTTTGTTGGTGCAAAGATCATATATTCAACACACAGGTAAGATATCTCGATGGCTTTGCCAGGAAGGGCTAGCCCATTTATATGAACATATTTCAGCTTAACTAAATATTCTGCTGTTGAAAGAACAGACCATTTTAGAAAAGGAAAAACATACCATCAGTTTTAAAAATATTGGCCACAATGTGAAGAACTTCATCAGGAGGGCTTTAAATTGAACTGGAAGTGGGAGGAAAACACAAGCTCAGAGGTAAAGACAGATGCAGGCTTACAAACAATAAGAGGAAGAGACTGTGTAGCTCTAATGAGGCCCAATAATAGTCTTTTAAAATGGTCAAAGAAAAGCAGGACACAAATCAAACCATCTCCAGTCACTATATATGAATGCCAGGAGTACTGGAAACAAAAAAAGGAGAATTGGAAATCATAGTTCAGGAGGGTAAAAATGACTTGACAAGAATAACTGAAACTTGGTAGGATGACTCCCATGACAGGAATATAGCAATTGAAGGATATAAATTGTTAAATAAGAACAGAAACAATGGAAAGGGAGGGTGAGTCTCAGTATATGTCAAAAATGTATATTCCTGCACAGAAATACAGGAGGTTGAGCTTGGTTGTCCTATTGAGAGCATCTGAATTGATATATAGTGGTGCCTCGCTTAACGATGATAATTGGTTCCCAAAAAATCGCTGTTAAGCGATTTCATGGCTAAGCGAAACACGGTTTCCCATTGAAATGCATTGAAAACCAGATAATCCGTTCCAATGGGAACGGATTGCCGTCCTTAAGCGAAAATCGTCATAGGAAACATCGCTAAGTGAAACACGGTTCCCCAATTGAAATGCATTGAAACCAATTCAATGTATCTCAATGGGGGAAAAAATTACAACAAATTTAAAGAGTCAGAACAAAGTCAAATTAGTTTAACAAAGGGTTTATTAAGTGCACTTATGATTTCAAGCATTCTAAACATTTTAAACATTTAAAAAACAGCCAACATGAGGCTGTCAAAACCATCGTTAAGCGAAACAGGGGGACCCAAACTGTCATTGCTATGTGAAGCATGGTCCCAAACATCGCTATGCAAAAAGTGCCCATAGGAACCATCGTTAAATGGAGCACAAGATCGCTCCGAAAAAGTCATCGCTAAGCGATTTCATCGTTAAACGAAGCAATCGCTAAGCGAGGCACCACTGTACTTGGATTTGGATTCCTGCATAGAGCAGGGGATTGGATTTAATGGCCTTATAGGCCCCTTCCAACTCCATTATTCTATACTTGTAAGAAAATTATTTTCAAAGGATTGTATTTTTTAAACCTGATTCGTGTGCATTGTACCAATATATTCATGTCTAGTGAAGTTGTTCATATGAGGAGTTTCTGTCTCAGAAGTATTAAATTCAGAGGCTCCTAACACTGATTTGAGATACAAAGTGAGCATAATTCTTCTCCAGCTCATTGTTCAGGTTCAAAAGCATAGCAGCATCAGAGAATTTCAGTGTGTTCCAAATACCTTTTTCTAGATTCACATACCAAATGATATTTCCCATTTTGGGGAGGAATAACTGGTCTTATTCCAAGCCAGTCTCATTCAAGACTGGGGAAACACGCTTATCATTATTAGCATGTCCATATTTCTAACATAGTGTATGTGAAGCAGTAAACTGAATCCTTTGATTACTGAACTTCTCTTAACACTAGTAAGTCAAAATTCCAGAGGCCAGCAGCTGACAGGATTGGCAAACCGAGTTGAGTACTTTGTTCCAACAGCTCCACAAACCAGACAGCTGAACAAACACTGCAGGCGAACTTGACAATGTTGGCCTCCATCCTGATGCCATATAGAGAAATTGGAAATCTTAGTGTGTATGCCCAGACTAGTATTCCCAGAATTGTCAGCCAGTACAAGCAGTGGGCCAGCCAAAATAATATCATTTCCCATCTCTGGCAACATCCTGGCTCGTGAGGGGTTTTTAACCTGTCCAAAATTGCCAGTGATTAGAAAGGGAAGGAGACTCCCAAAGAACATAAGGACTCTGAATTCATTTTAGGCGTCCTCTGGGCAAAACCAGCACCTTGTTGACTGATCTTTCCACTCCAGAAGGACCATTGGATTGCTTCTGACACAAACAAAGAAGTGGTGAAAATATCTGAGGTTAATTTATCAATATGCAAAAAATAATTTTCATGGCCATTACTGGACCTTTACTGCAACTGTTCCTGCAAAAAGAGCCCAGACTGACTCTAGGTTTGATGATGGCCTAAAAATATTTGGGTTAAATTGCCCCCTCTGTCAATTGATAACCCAAAGGACAGTTAATGGCTGCTGTTCAGCTTCTGGTCTCTGCCCATTGGAAGTGATATGTTCCTTTTTCTGATAACTTTTTTAATTAAAGGATTCAGCATTTTGAATAGGTATACCTGCAAAAGGGAATGGGTCTGTGCTATTTTGTTACACAGTGAACTCTGTTGCCGTCGCTTTTTCTGAGCTTGGAAGCGTTATTTTCTTCATGCTAAGTAGGGTGCTCTGGGACTTGTAGTCTTAAAAGTAATGTTTTCCAACTCTTCCTCAAAGAGCAGATGTACAGTTTCTGATTCAATGCAGATTGCTCTTTCCCTGCCCCTTTCTCCATAATAAATATGGAGGGCTGGCCATTTTATATGTTTATTTCTGTAGCATCTTGCAAGTTTACTTGGCTTCCTGGTTGCGTTGACACAAAACCCAGCCAATCACTATTAAGCATATTAAAAACTCCTCTTCTGAGTTTGATCTGGAGAACACTTTGCATGTGTGTGAAGAAAACAGTAACAGCATTTTCATGGTGGAACTAATGATAGAGTGATATCTGTTTTTACATTACATTGCATGTAGAGCATAGCTGTTGCTATGTGCCTTCAAGTGGGAACCAACATACAGCAACCCTAATAGAGGGCTTTCAAGGTCAGCGATATATTTAAAGAATGGTTTTACCAGTTCCTGTACCCAGTGTGGTGTAGTAGATAGACTCTGGAGACCATTCCCTCATAGGTATAGAAACTCACTGGTAAAACTACTCCTTAAATATCTCACTTACAGTGGGGCCTCGCTAGACGATGACAATCCATTCCACTGAAATTGCTGTTTAGTGAAATCATTGTCTAGCGAAAAGCATTTCCCCATTGGAATGTATTCAAACCTGTTTAATGTGTTCCAATAGGGAAGAATCGTCATTGTCTAGCTAAGATCAGCCATAGGAAAGCCGCTTTGTGAACCACCGATCAGCTGTTTAAATAGCTGTCTTGTGAAGTGTAGGCCCCCGAAAACACCCGTTTTGCAAGTGTGGAGGGAGCTGTCAAAATTGTTGTCTAGCGAAAATCGGTTTGCGAAGCAGGGACCAAACATTGTCCAGCGAAATTCCCACATAGGAATCATTGTTTTGCGAATCGCTATAGCGATCGCAAAAAGTCAATGTCTAGCGAAAAAACTGTCATGCGGGGTAACTGTGTGACGAGGCACCACTGTACTTGTAAAGCCAAATTAGGGTTGCTATAAGTCAGTTACAACTCAACAGAACCTAATTAACTTCACCAGTTGTACACTCCCAGTAGGTTTCCATGCCTACTCGGGAATTCAAACCCAGGCCTCCTGAATCCCAGTCCATTACACCACACGGAATATCTCATAGTGTATAGACTTTACACTATATGGTATTTAGTGTATAGATCCTATAAACACTATTAATGAATTCATTTTATACATCACATTTTATATATCCAGCTGCTGATTCAGAAGTTGAAAATAGTATTATTGAAAAGAAGAAAAGAATACTGTTTTCCCCTTCTTGCAACTTTTATTTTTTCTTAACATTTCTAGGAAGCAAAATGTTTCCCAGATTAAAGAAGCTGTCCATACAGCCATGGCACTCAAAGCTGAATTCCCTGATACTGTGGCAGGATTTGATCTGGTAATCTTTATTGCTTATTTGATTATCAGTGTTTTGTTGGAAGGAATGCAGGAAGTAAATAGATGGTATTTTTAGTGAAGTAGAATAGCCATTCTCAGTGGGGGCCATTTAGCCCTCTGGGGACTCCTGGCATATTTGAAGGGGGCCACTCTCTGGAAACAGTTTTTGACACACCACCTTATAAGGTTTGTTATGTGACTTATACAGTCTTGATTCAGCCTATATTTCTTTCATATTGTGTTGATGGCCATGGCCAAAAACAGGCTGAGAATGGCTGAACTGGAGGTCTTGTTGAGCTGTAGGCTATTATATGACTGCCTTATATGGGACATAACTCTCATTAATAACCAGCTGAGCCTCTGATGAATTGCTGTAGCATCTACATTGGAATACCTTGAACTACTTGTTACTACTGCTTATGACATGAGAGACAGAATAGTGTAATTTATGAACTCTAACAGTCCAGAAGGCATCCAGAAACCTGACCAAAACCAGAATACAGTCGTGCCCCGCTTAACGATTACCCCGCATTACCACGAATCTGCTTCACGACAATGTTTTTGCGATTGCAATTGCGATCGCAAAATGATGTTTTAAATGTTTTTTTTTTTGCTTTGCGAAGATTGGTTCCCTGCTTCGGGAACTGATTCTTCGCATTATGACAATCAAACAGCTGATCGTTGGGTTTTCAAAATGGCCGCTGGGTGCTCCAAATGGCTCCCCGCTGTGATTAGGGATGGATTCCTCGCTATACAGGCACTGAAAATGGCCGCCGTATGGATGATCTTCGCTGGACGGTGAGTTTTTAGCCCATTAACTGGTTTTTAATGCGTTTCAATGGTTTTTTATTTTTGTTTTACGACGTTTTCGCTCTACAGCAATTTCGCTGGAACGAATTAACGTCGTTAAGCGAGGCACCACTGTACGTCCTGGATCCCCTGGGATTAACCTACATTCTTCAAATAGTAGATGTGCTAAAAGCAGACGGCCATAGCAGCTGAAGCAGCATATGCCAAATGTGTTGGAATTATAGTACCCAGCATATTATGCCTTTGGAAGGTTTGGATGGGAGGACTTTGGGCCTGAATGTCAATCACATAGTAGCAGCCAATTGTTTCCCCGCTACCTCAAATTCCTTTTCCCACTTTTTTATTCAGTCAGGGTTCTATGTCAGGTTCTGTTAGCGTTTGTGTGTGTCAGGGTCTGTTCGTTACGGAGTTAACAGAGTCTGAGTGAAATGTTTATGTAACCAGTCAATCAGTCAAAATAATATAGTTAACCAGTTAAGATCTTGAACTATGTAACAAGTAAATGTGTTTTGTTTGTTATTCTGACATATATGAAGATTTGTGAATAAAAGAGAAACAACTTTTAATCTTTCTCAACACCATAGTCTCTGACTGAATCTATTGAGATTATATTGCCAGCTGAGGCAAATCTAACCAAAACTAATCTACCAAAAAGGGTTGGCATATTTGAAGGGAGACTTGTAACTATATAATAATCTGCTTTGTAGGTCTCATTCTGAATTTCTCCTCCCTCCACTGCATAGCTGGTGGTTTTAAGGCAGCAATTTCCACACTCTGCCATTAAAATGTCCTAGCAGAAGAAAGCCCTAGAGCTTAAGTACCTTTGTAGGTCATCTTTTAACTTAATACAATGGTGACTCGACTTACGAACGCCCCTACTTACGACCATTTTGAGTTAGGACCATCTCTGGCCACAAAATTTTGCTTCTGCTTGCGACTGGAGCTTCCACTTACGAATAGAAAAAGGCAGGGGGGAAAGGTGGGAAATTCAAATTTCTAACTGTTGTAGGTGGCAACGAGGCTGCTTCTTTGTAGCTCTTTCGCGCCAGCAGTTAGAGAGTGTGCGTCAGAGGGGGAAGATTGGGACTGCCTCCTTCTACTTCTGAGTGTGTGTGTGTGTGTATTTGCAGGGAGGCTTCGGGTTGCCTTGTAAGATAAGGTGCTGTTTTCTGTTTTTTAAAAAACTGTTCTGGGTGTTTTTGCAGTGTGGTTTTGAGTTTGCGGGTTATGTTTCTGTGCTGTGATGGGTCTTGGTGGGTTTGTTGGTTTTTTGGTTCCCCCTCCCATTTCTGATGGGTCTAGGGAAGTTTGGTTGCTCTTTGGGGTTTTGTCCCCCATTTCCGATGGGTCTTGGGGATTTCCTTGCTTTTTGGATCCCCCCCTTTCCAATGGGTCTTGGGGAGTTTGTTTTCTTTTTAGTTTCACCACCATCTTGGGGAGTTTGTTTTCTTTTTAGTTTCCCCAACACCACCATTTCCGATCTTGCACAATCTGCTTCATTGCTTTTTGCTTTGTCTTGTTTGCATTTGCAAGGGGTCTTGCATGGTTGATTGGTTTTTGGTTTGTCTTCCTTGCATTAGGTCTTGCACGCTTGATTGCTTTTTCCTTTGTCTTGTTTGCATTTGCAATGGGTCTTGCATGGTTGATTGCTTTTCTCCCCTCCCTCGGCTGGATTAATCGTGTTTTCAACCGGTCTTACAGTGATTTTTTTGGTGATTTTTTTCCTTCAGCCAGAACGGATTAATTGCATTTCAGTGCATACCAATGGGAAATGGTGCTTCGACTTACAATCATTTTGAGTTACAACCATTTTCCTGAACCAATTAAGTTCGTAAGTCGAGGCACCACTGTAAATAAAAGGCGAGGCATGCATTTTTAAAAGAAAGAAGATCCATTACATAAATTGTATAAACATTTATTTAAATGTTTAGATCAAGCTTTTTATTAGTGTATGTGTTTGCGCGTGCACACACACACACACAAAATCCAGTGCAAGACACTATCCAGTGCAAGTGCCATGGCAATGTTTCAGGTTGCGTTTATTGACATGGTACTGTCAAGCTTCCCACAGAATATTTCTAAATCAAGCAGCCCAGTCCTGTCCATATTTAAATGTGCATATGACAGCAGATTTCAGAATGTCAATAGGATCTTTTTATGAATGCTTCAACTCGGTAATACTCTGCAAGCTAATTCTGCCAATTTTTGGATTAGGGAAATATTACTGTCACGTTGATATTACTCCTCAATAATCCTGCCAGATGATTTTATTCTATTTAAACTATACTGCATTTCACGGCATAGCCTCCCCAAAGAACTTCATACAATAAAATAATAAATCAATACGAACATAGTTAATCAAAGCAACATGTAAAATAAACACTATAGGAGTGCAGTAAAAGAGGATAAAATATATTAAATAAACAAATTACAAGCAATTAAAGTTAAGGAAGTTGGATTATGTGCACTCCACCTTATCATCACTGATATAGGAATGTATCCTGAGTTCAGGGGTCTCAGAGGCTTAGCACAAAGAAAAAAATATAGCTCATCTTTGATGCTGCATTGCATGCCAGGTCTGTTCACCCATGTTTCAGTTACATGTGTAACCATTCTGTTCATGTTAAAGGCAATGCAAAACTGAGTGTGTGATTGTCTTATGGTTATAAATTATCTACTTATTTCTCTGACTGAAAATCTTGTTGAAATAATATAAAACTATGTAAAAATAAGGTCCAATGTGAATGATACTTTTCCTGATATTGGTAAGATCGAAACACTTACTCAGACCAGTTTGTTTCTCAGGTTGGCTGGGAAGATGGAGGATATTCCCTCTGGCAACTGAAGGATGCCTTGACTTTTCCAGAGACTGTAGGAGATAAATTGCCATATTTCTTTCATGCTGGTGAGACTGGTAAGTATGAACGTTTCACCACAGCAATGTGTTACAGGTCTGTCTGTACTGTAACAAATCATTCCCATTGTCTTATTTCCTGATGTTTTCAAGGAGCAGTTTTCATGGGTCACATTATGGACATGTTGGTCAACTCTGTGCAGGGGCAATCCTGTAGCCAGTGGGATTAGAATGATATTTGGTTGTTGCCAAATTTTCATTTTACAGCACCATGCAATGAAGTTTCAAACTACTAAGAATAATTTTTAAAAACGTAACATTCCCTTCCTCTTTTATCCTGGGATTAGGTGAAACCCGAGTGACTAATTTACACAAACAGCCTCAAAATATTTTTCCACAGCTGCAGTTTGTATGAATGGCTGTGAATGGATGGTTTACCTCATCATTATATAGTGATATTTGTCTGATGGACAATCTTGGAAACTGCATTGATGTATGCAGAAAACAATTCTTTCTCACAAGAGCAGATGTGTTGCAAGGAATAAAAATGCTAGAGATTCATGTTCATATCCTTGCACAATTAAGTACGGCATTTGTCTTGACAGCTTTGGCCATGTGCTTTAATTTCAGACTTACATGGATTCTCATGTTGATGATAAAATGAGGTGAAAATGTACTCTGACCTTTTCTGAGCACTTCAGTTTGGTGGGTGGAAAATTCATGGAAATTCTTCTTTATGGTCCACATACAATGAGGAAGATTGAAAAGGAACGTAACATTCCCTTCCTCTTTTATCCTGAGCACTTGAGTTTGGTGGGTGGAAAATTAATGGAAATTCTTCTTCATGGTCCACATACGATGAGGAAGATTGAAAAGATTGCTTTTTCAGACTTCATGGAAAATGGGCTCCTTCAAAAACAGTTTATTTGGATATTCATGTGCATGTGTTGGGGGGGCTGCCATGGCAACAATTTTGTAGTTATGTAATCATATGAAAATTCTGTATCTTACTTAGATTGGCAGGGGATGCCTGCAGATCAAAATCTGTTGGATGCTCTTCTGTTGAACACCAGGCGGATTGGCCATGGATTTGCCCTTCCCAAACACCCAGCAGCTAAGAATTTGGCTTTGAAGATGGATATTCCTATAGAAGTATGCCCTGTTTCTAACCAGGTACTGTTCAAGTGGAAGAGAGAGTAGTTCTGGGGTTTGTCTTAACATAATTCTGATTGAAATACTGTAGATAAAAAGCTTTTTCTTACAGAGCAATAATCAGACTTCACACATTTGAGATTAGCAGCAAAGATTCTAGGCGGGATTTGTTTGTTGACATATTCATTTATTAGTGAATATAGCATCAAAACAGGCTGAATCTGGAAATATCAATTTACACCTCAGTTTGTAATTATAATTAATTAAAATTACCACTAATGATGGCAAACAACATTAAAATGAGGGGTAAACACAATTACCATTTATTAATGTAGTGGCCAAGATTAATGTTATTTCATTAAAGAATTCTAACAGTGATGCACACAGTAAATATTAGAGGGAACCATGCTTTTTACCCTGTGTTGTGTTATTTCACATTTTGTCATGTATTTACACTGCATGGACATTCTGGCTTTAGGACACTTTAAAATGCAGTGGTGCCTCGCTTATCGAGTGCACTGTATAACGACGAAATCGCAAAGCGATCCGTTTTTTCGGATCGCTAATGCGATCGCTCAACGTTTTTCCAATAGGGGAAAATTCGCTTTGTGAAGACCGGTAAGCGTTTCGCTTACCGATCTTCGCAAAACGAACCCCGACGATCAGCTGTTCGGCAAACAACATTAAAATGAGGGGTAAACACAATTACCATTTATTAATGTAGTGGCCAAGATTAATGTTATTTCATTAAAGAATTCTAACAGTGATGCACACAGTAAATATTAGAGGGAACCATGCTTTTTACCCTGTGTTGTGTTATTTCCCATTTTGTCATGTATTTACACTGCATGGACATTCTGGCTTTAGGACACTTTAAAATGTTTAGAATCTATCTACAGAATCTATAGTTTCAGAGTACCTCCTTCAGAGATGGTGATTGTTGTGAAGATATGATTGGGAGAAAGCCTTAGATGAGTGTATCAGATATGAAATACAGTACATGTAGTTTCATGATAGGAGAGAGCTCTATGTACATCCTCCAGTAGTAGCACAGAAGGTTGTGACAAGAAGAAAAAGGATCAGAGGTTCAAAATTATATCTCACTACTGGTGAAATACCAAAGGCCTGACTACAGAATACAGATCTTTTTAAAAATATAAAATGGCAGATATCTGTCTCTGATGGGTACTTCTTCTTCAAGGTCCTGATGTTAGTATCAGATCTAAGGAACCATCCTGCTGCATTTCTGATGGCAGACGGTCACCCCATTGTGGTTGCCTCTGATGATCCCTCAATCTTTGGAGCAAAGGGGGTGTCATATGATTTTTATGAGATGTTTATGGGCATTGGAGGGATGAAGGCTGATCTGAGGACTTTGAAACAACTGGCATTAAATTCCTTGGAGTAAGTATTATGCCTCTTATGCACTTTTACATATGCAAATAGTGGTGAATTCTTGAAGACTTCTCTCATGTGTCAGCACTCTCCTTTAAATTTGTGCTCACAGTTGAATTAGAGGCCCACAAAAACATGGCTGTGAGGTCCAGGTTTAAAACAGTATTTGTCTGCCCGTCTGGCTTATGCTAATGAGAATGTTTTTAATTTCTGCATTATCACATTCCCTGCAACAAATAATTGTCATCCAAATTGTAGAACAGTTTATACGCTTGGGTAGCTAAGTTCTCCAAGTTCCTTTGGTTCTTGAAAACTCCTAAAAGATCTGTTTGTCTTTTTACATTGTCCTGCATTCATTCATTTCAGTCTTTAGGCAAGGTAAGGTGATAGGTATAGTGCATAACAAATACACACAAAGGAGCGCAGCAGTTCCAATCAAAGAAGGTTGAAGGTTCATCAAGGTTCCGTTTACACCTCTATGCAGTCTACTTTTTCTGGGCTCCACACTGGTGCCTGAAGAATATGAACTCTAAAAGAACGAAACCTCAGGCCTAAAAGGAAGCACTTCCTGGCCTCCTGCTTTACTATTAAGATGAAATCTGTTGTGGGCTTAGCTCAGATGTCACAGGCCTCTGGCTTCAGGAACTGGAGCCTACTTGATGGATGGTATGTCATCTTTGACTCTGAGCTTTAGGTGGGGGCCATGATATTTACAGCTTAAGTATGCCTACTGGGAGAAAGCTTTGTGAATTCTATGAGTGGCCTCCTAGATTGCATATGTATATCAGGTGCAGCATAAGCAGTCAATTTATCGAGCTGTAATTTTCTGCCCTTTTCAGGGGTTTAACCTCATTCTAGTTCTGGAACACTTTTGCTTACTTTTCTTTCTCTGACACGTGTCTTTTGCATCCACAGATACAGTGCTTTGCTACCTGGAGAGAAAGAGAAAGCCCTGCAGATCTGGCAGAAAAAGTGGGATCACTTTATAGCTCAGGTCTCTGGCATTATTCCAGAACAAATGGAAAAAGCGGAACCAGTTCATAGCTCCTGCAACTAGGAAAAGAAGCAGCCATTTTCTCTTGCGACAACATTAAGCTGGAATTAAGAGGCACAGCAGGAATCTTATACCCTGCTACTTTTATCAGATGATTGCTAAAAGCAACAGACAATTGTCTTATCCCTTATCCTTTTCAGTTCCTGAGCAAAGAGGTCTTTTAATTATACCACCAGTGATGAAAATGACTGAAGTCAAAAGGGGTAGCCCTTAAACGTGGAATTAGGTGTTCTTGAACCCAGTCAACTGCTCCAGTCCTCTTGAGCCCTTCTTATAAAGGACAGGTACTTAGCATAGATTAGGTCTCAGCCTTACTTACCATCTGTCTGTGCTTTTGTTTCTTTACATGTTTTAGCAGTTTGGGGATGAGATACATACTTCCCTTTCAGACTTGAAGAGCACGGGATTGTTTATATTCCACAATTAACTTCTCAGGTGTAGAACTGGACACTGAGATATTAGATGTTGTTGAACAATGTCTGTGGAAATTGTTTGGGCAAAGGAACGTTTTTGTGCATTTTATGAAAAGCAGCAATGTGACTTTTTTCGTTTTTAAAAAAGGGAAAATCCGTATGCTTTGTATATAGAATCCAAAGGCAGGTATGGTTGATACCTTTAGTTTGACCACTAAAATCTTAAAAATGGGCACAGTCTAACTTTTGAGTCTGCAAAACTGTTCATCAGTCTGGGCACTGTGGAGTTAAAGGGCATCTGAAGGAGACATTTCTCAAAGTCCCTGAAATAATGGCAAGATGTCAAGGCCAGGCTCTCTTACCTAAAGTGAGATCCAAAATAGATGTGGCAGCCTTTTAAAATCAGCTTCAGGACATCTGGTTTGGCTTCAGGCTATGTAGATTTCATTGTCTTTCTCCAGCCACAAACAAAGGTCTTCTAATCTCTCAGTATTTGTCCCATTGCCCTTATACAGAAGCACATAGTTCTTGCCTGAGTGAGACTAAAGAAAATAGGATCTCCTAGTTTTCAGACTTTTTCTTTCAAACAACTTTTATCCTTTCTGAGGTACCAGGGTAGTATCTTTAAAAACAGACAAATTAAAATAACAATGTTCTGAACATTTGGCATTTTTGCTACACACTTTTTATACAAATCAACAAATTTTATTTTGTTAAGGTTCCAACACAATTTTCTTTTGAGATGATGCATTCTCAGACAAACAAGAAAATGCGAACTAAATAAGCAAATACAAAATTACATTCAGAACAGCATGAGTTTTTAGATCTCTAGGAAAAACTGTGACCTTCCAACATCATAGGTGCTCAGCAGCATCAGAGGTACAGTGGGTGAATGGTAAGAGACATTTGCTTTAGTACCTGTGGAATTCCAAGGAAACCCACCTGCCTTCTCCACTAATCTTCTGTTGGTAAGCAAATATCATCTTGTGTAGACTGATCTTTGAACCTTTGGGATTATTACTTTTTCTTGGTGGAGGCTGGTAATTCGTTTAGTTGGCTGTTGCTTTTATTTGCTCTTTTAAAACACATTTTAATATTTATTATAATGTATGTTGTCAGCTGCTTTGATTGTCTAGTCAGAAGTAGACAGCATAAAAACTATATATATGGGTTCTAATCAATGTGCTATAGATACAATTGCACAAAATTGTTGTGAATGCACTAATTGACTGCCAGTATATATACTAGTGCCAGATCAATGTAATTAAAGTTCCATTTCCTTGACATGCTTATTAAAAATTATGCTTGCAAAGATGCTATAGTCTACAAGTTGTCAATGTCATACTGCATATTTTTCATGCTCCTTCTCTGGAAAACATGTGCAAGTCACAGTGATAACTGTAATACTCAGTGATTATTGTACAAATAATTCCCCTTTAAACATCACTGTTCCTTGCATCCAATCAACATGTGAAATGCAAATTAGTCTGGGAAGGCAAGAAAAGAAGTAACTGGTTCACGCATCAGACTAGCATGGAAGGGGAGACTGAGTTAGACCACCAGGTAAGATGAGGTCCCCAATTTCAATTGTTACAGGGGAAAAAACAGCTGGAGACACTGGGGACAGTAGATTTAGGCTGAAAATACAGTGGATAAGATAAGGTAAACTGAAGTCATTTTTTCAGGTTTTGGACTGACTAATGGTCATAAGGGTTACAGTTGATGAGAGGCATGCCTGTTCTGAATACTGTCTTGGTATACATAAGCACTGCAATTTCACACAGGATAGTTCTCTCTCTCTCTCTCTCTCTCTCACACACACACACACACACACACACACACACACTATATATAAGGCAAAGAATACACACACACACACACCATATATAAGGCAAAGATTATCAAGTTTTGCCACTGCAGATATCCTTAGATTCAGAAGGTGGTTAACCAGACTTAGTGCCAAGTTGTACATTATAGAAACTCTGTCATTAGAAGAGGCATCTGAATATCACAGCCAGACCTTTTCACAATTTGTGGAATTCGAAAAAGTAGTTTGCTTTGTTCAATGATTATTTTTCAGGAGTTAGCTAAGCACCTTTTTATTTGCAAGTCTGAACACCCTAGTTCTGGCTCTGCAGCCAGATATTTATCCAGCCAGCTGGCATTTAATAACCCAAAGTATACTGTATTTCTTTTGCACAAAGAACTTCCATTTAGCAGGTATTGTGCCTATGGCTTCAAAGGATCGTTCTCCATGATTGCCTCTTAACTCTTTAAAATCTATCCAAGTTAGTACAGCTTCCATTTGATAATGTATTGATTCCTTACACCACTATTGTTTGAGGAGCAAGAAGACTGAAAGAGAAGGACAGGAGGTTGAAGAGGAGTAGATGTCTACAGAATGCCCTAAGATGGCAAAATAATAGACATTGGAAAAGCAAGCAGGTGGTTGGTGAGGTCAGGGGGGCAAAAATTATTACTGGCAATTTATTGTGATAATTTCAATGGCCCAGGATGAACTGAAACACAGTTCTTCCCTAATGACGCTAAGTGCTATATTTGAGCAAACCTGATTACTGGATGGTATCAAGGGCATGGGAATGACCACAAAAACTGTGATTTTGAGATCTGTAATTTCTAGGGAAGAGGAACAAGAGAAGAAAAAGAGAACAGAGAAGTGTCTCAGCACTAGCCTTATTTAGCCTGTTCTTAATGCCTTGTTACTCTGCTTGAGCACTTCCTCATCTGCAATGAGCATCTCCATTCTGTGGAGTTTCTCTCCTTATCTTCCCTGATAATTAGTTAATGATATGACTGTTCTTTGTTCAAGGTTGTGTACAGAAAGGGAGGCTAGAAACTTAGCATAATAAATAAACAACCTTTCCAAAACCAAAGGTCACACTAAGGGTAGTGACCCTGATCTGCTGTAGCTTTGACAAACAAGTTACAAGTGCACTTTCCTATAATATGCATCAAATGAGACATCAAACTGGTTCAGCAGAAATCAGCTGGGCTTGATGATATGTGAAGGGGATGCCAAGAACACATCAGCAATGTAGGTGGACGGTTACTTATGGGTACTCTTGTTGCTGGGGCAAGTAAGAGATCTAACAGAAATGTTAATTAATGCAATTTTCCAGCTCTTTTTTTTTTTGGACACAGAATACCAGAGGAGTTGTGAAAATTAACTGAAAGGCCTGCTTTATCAATGTGGACTAATTTCTTTATCTCATACAATATATGTAAGAGGTATGTGGTGGATTTTCATTTTGTTGGTCTGAATTCAAGACATATGAAATGAAAAAAAAATCTATCCTTCAATCTATCCTTGTTGCAGTGTTCTCTCCCCACTTGCCTGAAGACATCTATTATAGTGCCATTCCCAAGCAGTTAGCTATGGTATCTTTCAATGATTATAGACCAGTAGGTTAAATATCTGTTATTGTGAAATGTTTTAAGAGATTGGTGCTGGATTACATTAATGCTAGTCTTCCACCTTCTTTGGACCTATGGCAATTTGCATACAGGAGAAATAGATCTGATGGTGCTATGTCCATTGTTCTCCATACTGTATTGAGTCACTTAGAACAACAGGGAACTTATGCGAGGCTGTTGTTTGTGGATTATAGCTCTGCTTTTAATACCATTCTGCCCAATAGGTTATTTTTTTAAATGATCAACCTGGGATTACGTCAGAAGATTTGTGTGTGGGTAAAGGACTTTCTGACAGATAGGCCACAGTCAGTAAGGATGGGATCTCACCATTCTTCTCCCTTGGTACTAAGTACAGGAGCTCCCCAGGGCTGTGTGCTAAGTACTTTCCTCTATTCCCTGTACACACGATTGCACCCTACTGTATAACACAAATTCATTTATTTAATTTGCGGACAATATGATAGTGGTGGGGCTCATAAATAAGAACAATGAGTCTGCTTACAGAAAGGAAGTACTGTACAAGGGTTGATACTGTGGTGTAAAGAAAATAATCTTACATTTAACATAAAAAAACTAAAACACTCATAACTGATTTTAGAACAAAGAGAAATGTACATTTACCACGGTACATAAATGGCGAGGAAGTGGAGAGGGTTGGTAGTTTTAAATTTCTGGGTACTTACATCTCAGAGGACCTCTCATGGACTATAAATGCCAACATGCTAGTGAAGAAGGCACAGAAGAGGTTGTATTTCCTGAGAAGGCTCGGGAAGTTAAATTTATCTCAATATTTACTTCTGTCCTACTATCGTAGTACCATTGAGAGTGTCCTAACCTATGGCATTCTTATATGGTTTGGGAGTAGCTCTGTAACGGACAAAAAAGTTCTACAGAGAACCATTAAAATTGCCCAGAATATCATTGATAGCTGTCATCCAGCCATCAACCCTGGATGACATTTTCACATCTCGCTCTCTGAGGAAGTCACACAACATCCTTAGAGACTTTTCCCATCCTGCTTACAACTTCTTTGAACTGTTGCCGTCTGGCAGAAGATGGAGAACAATTAAGACTCGGACTACACGTTTTCTGAATAGTTTTTATCCCAGAGCTATAATTGCACTTAATAATGAACTTAAAAGACCACCAGTAGTGAACAGCTGGACAGTGTTACTTAGCCTGCGGTGTAAATGTTTGTATTTTTAGTGGGGGATTTTTAGTGGGAGGGAGTGTTTAGGGATTGTGTGTGCGTGCGTGCGTGCGTGCGTGCGTGCGTGCGTGCGTGCGTGCGCGCATGTGGGTCTGGTCTCTGGGTGTCTGTGAATTTCGTTGTATGTGTATACTATGTATAGGCTATATATGACAAGAAATTTATCTATTTATTTATTAATTATTTAAAATAAAGATTTAAAACTGAGAGAATATGTTCAAAGATAAATGAGTCTTGAATCTCAGTAGCGAAATTATTCCATATATTTTCACTTAGTTTGGAAGGACCTCTGGGGAAAATTTCATGTTATTTCAGAACCAACAACAACAATAACCTTTGAACTGCAAAGCTAGAAGGGATCCTATGGATCATCGAGTCCAGCCCCTGTCAAGAAGGCATGGTAAAATCGAACTCGCAGCCTCTGACTCTGCAGCCAGATACCTAAACCACTGAGCTATCCACCATATTTTGAGGTGGCAAACCTACAGGTCTGTTATGTGCCCTTAC